GTCAATGACTATAGTAATCTATTATTTGATAAACCCAAAGACCCCAGCTTCTGGGATAAGAACCCACTCTTTGAAAAAAACTGCTGGGAAAACTGGAAAAGAGTATGGCAGAAACTAGGCATAGACCCAAATCTCACATTACCAAAATAAAGTCAAAATGGTTCATGACTTAGATATAAAGGCTGATACCATAAGTAAACTGGGAGAACAAGGAATAGTTTACCTATCAGATCTATGGAGAACAGAAGAATTCATGACCAAACAGGAGATAGAGAACATTAGAAAAGCAAAATGGATAATTTTGATTACATTAAATTGAAAAGTTTTTGCACAAACAAAGCCAATGCAACTAAAATTAGAAGGAAGGTAGAAAATTGGGAAAGAATTTTTACAACCAGTTTCTATGATAAAGGCCCCATTTCTAAAATATATAGAGAATTAAGACAAATTTATAAGAACACAAGCCATTCCCCAATTGATAAATGGTCAGAGGATGCTCTAAATCGTTATTGATTAGAGAAATGCAAATCAAAACAACTCTGAGGTACCACATCACATGTATCAGATTGACCAACACGACAAAACAGGAAAATCATAAATGTTGGAGATGTGGGAAAATGGGAACACTAATACATTGTTGGTGGAGTTGTGAAATGATCCAAGTATTTTGGAGAACAATTTGGAACTATGCCCCAAAGGCTACAAAACTGTGCATACCCTTTGATCCAGCAATAGCACTTCTAGGGCTATATCCCAAAGAGATCAAACAAGTGGGAAAAGACCCACATGTACAAAAATATTCATAGCAGCTCTTTTTGTGGTGGCAAAGAATTGGAAATTGAGAGGATGCCCATCCATTGGGGAATGGCTGAGCAAGTTGTGGTATATGAATGTAATGGAATACTATTGTGCTATAAGAAATGATGAACAGGCTGACTTCAGAAAAACCTGGAAAGACTTATATGGTCTGATGCTGAGTGAAGTGAGCAGAACCAAGAGGACTTTGTACACAATAACAGCCACGTTATGCAGTGACTAAGATTGTTAAACTGAACTCTTTTCAGCATTATGAGGAACTAAGACATCTCCAGAACCTTGGGATGGAAAATGCTGTCCACATCAAAGAAAGAACTACAGAAGTTGAATCGCTACCACTTATTTTTACTTTCTGTTGAGTTTTGTTTCATTTTTCTGATAGTTCTTCCTATTGGTTTTAATTTTTACTTACAACTTCACTAATGTGAAAATATGTTTAATGGGTATGTAAATGTACAGCCTGTATCAGATTGTGCGCCATTGGGGAGAGTGGGGGGAGGAAGGGGAGAAAAATTTTCAACTCAAAAGCATGTGGAAGTGATTCTTATAAATCAAAATAAATTAATAAAATTAAAAAAATATTTGGTCGTATCTCATACCATCCTCATTTTAAGAATAGTGCAAAAATAAGTACAGAATGAAGCAAGCTCCCAGTAAGAAAAATTTAACGTCTTTTGTATTTAGAAATCATTCTGAAATAACACATTGTGACTATAATCTGACTGTATTTTGTAGTAATGATGAAGTTAACATAAGGGATTTGATGACAGTTTTGTGTAAAACTTTTGCAAAGAAAGGTAAACTAGGAAACACTTGGTAGACTATAATGGTTATAACCTGTTTGCAACTATATAGGCAGTTCAGAAGTATTCCACAAACAAGGGCTTTAAAAATATTTTAAATCTTTATTTTAAAAAAGATTCTGTTTCAAAAATTATCACAACTACAACCTTGTACTGATAGAAAAACAAGATTTGTTTTTAATAATTAATAATTTTCCCTAGAAAACAGACACAGGATATTCTGATAAAAAAATTTTCAGAAATAAATTGGTAGAAAAAGGGGAATTTATTAAAGTGCTAACAAAATTCAGGTAAAGAAAGGTAGGTTTTCTGATTGTGAATATATACTGTATCTGGAGTTATTAAACATTTCATATGTTTAATCGTTAGGGAAATGTTACTCTACTAGAATCCTAAAATGTGTTGTAGAGTATTCATATAGATAAACGAGTAAGGAAATTTTGGACCTGGCTATCATGGCATATTTTTACCAGAGGCATACTTATATCAAAATATGAAAATAGTAGAAATTAATAAAAGTTATTGAAGATTCACAAAAAGTGAAAACCTCTCAAATGACGAAGAAGATATTTAAGCAAAACCTACTGATAACGTATGCAACATTGTGTCTTAATTCCTATAGTCTATTTTTTTCATAGACTAAAGGAGATATATGTGCCATTATCTAGTCTCTAAAATGATTATTTTATTTTTAAAATTGCAGAGTTTGACATCTTTTAGTGATCACATATTTTAAATTGTCATTTTGCATTTTTTCCTTGTGGCCTTAATTATTTCCCTTTACATATATAAATCTTGGAGTTCTTTTTTCCCCCAAATTCTTTATAATTTGATATTTAAAGCCTTTTATAACCTGGCCTCTCTAATCATTCAGTTTGTCAGTCCCCTCCCTGTGCTCTTCAGTCATTAACATCGGCCTGTTCTTTGGTCAGTACATTCATTCTTCTGACTCTTGGCATTTTCTCTCTGTGTTCTCCAGGTTTGGCATGCTTTCTGCATCTATAACCCTAGTTTTCTTCAAATCCCTCCTAAAATCTCACCTCCCACAAGAGACCTTTCCTGATCCTTCTTAATTTCTACTGCCTTCCCACTAGTCATTATTTTCAAATTTTTCCAATATATAAATTATTTGCAAGTTACTTCTGCCTTTAGACTACAAGTTTTTGAGAGAAAGGATGTCTTTTACCTTTCTTTGCATTCTTAGTTCTTAGCATAATACCTAGCAAATAATAGGTGTTTAATAAATGTTTATTGATTGACAATTTATCTCACCTGCAGTTACATAGCTTCATCATCTACTTTCTTGATTCTGAAAATTTTTACCACTTAATTACTCCCTCCTTCTAATTATTTTCTCTCTTTTTTCTTTTTTTACCTTTCATGGGACTCTGTCATGATTCTTCTATGCCTAATTCTCTTATTACCTTTCTTGCTATTTCCCCTATCCTTCTGACTATACTACTTTGTTGATTCATCATTTCCCTAATTGTTGTTATTCTCCATATTGCTGTCCTAGACTCTCCTCTTTTTCTTCCAGCACTTTTCTCTTATAGTGATGGACTGTGAATCAGGAATATCTCAGCTTGATTATATTAATAGATGAAGAAAATATCTCTTTTTAAATTTATTTTGATTTTTAACAATCACTTCCATAAGCTTTTGAGTTTTAAATTTTTCTCCCCCTCCCTCTTCACCTCCTTCCCCGAGATGGCGTGCAGTTTGATATAGGCTATACATATATATTCCTATTAAACATATTTTCACACTAGTGATGTTATAAGGAATAATTAGAACCAATAGGAAGAACCACCAGAAAGAGGAAACAAAACACAACAGAAAGAAAAAAAATAGCAAATAGTATGCTTCAATCTGCATCAAACTCCATAGTTCTTTCTTTGGATGTGGATAGCACTTTCCATCACGAGGCCTTTGGAGATGTCTTAGATCCTTGCACTGATGAGAAGGGCTAAGTCTATCAATATTAGTCATCGCACAACGTGGCTGTTAACTGTTAAACACTCAAATCAACTACAGAGGACCTATGAAGGAGTAAGAAGTAACAAATAATAGTATGTATAGTATAGTTTTACATATGTTTATAAATCTATCAAATGGTGTCCTTCTCTAGTGCAGAGTAGGAAGGAGGGAAGGAGACAGTTTGGAACTTAAATGTAACAAGAAAATAACAATTTATTATTAATAGATTTGATATTATGAAAACCTCTCAAATGACAAATACATAATCTATTCGGTGAAGATTGAATTGGAATGGTGAGATGTAAAATGGTAAGACCAATTGAAAGGCTATAGAAAGATGATAAGAGATTTATCTATGTAGTTTAAAAGAATAGAAGAGATTGGAGAGAAGTGAAAATGATTTAGAAGGTGATTGTGCATGTGGAATATATGAGTAGGAATTGAGAATTGACACCAAGGTTGCACATAAGTGATAGGAAAGCTGAGGATAGGTGGGTTCTGTGTTGTGGTAATATTCAGTTTATAGGCTAACTAGTTCTAAATGTCCATTACTGGGGCATCACACTGGGGCATAAGAATTCAGCAGAGCTAGGTGGAATGCTGGGCCTACAGACAGGAAGACCTGAGTTCAAATCCAGCATTAAATAGTTACTCTCTTTGTGACTCTGGGCAAGTCACTTAGCTTGACTTCCTTAATTTCCTTATCTGCAAAATGTGCATAATAAGTTATTTCCTAGAGTTGTTTTGAGGATCAGATGAGATATTTGTAAAGTGCTCAGCACAATGTGTTGAATATAGTAGATTTTATATAAATACTAGCGATGACAATGATAATGATGATGATAGCTAGCCAAGATATAGTAGTGTGGATTTACGTTTTATTCGTAAAGATCAAAGTATGAGAAAAAGTAACAGAGGAAAGGAAGTTGTACCTAAATCAGTAATTGTGAAAAATAGTAATGAAAGCCATTGCTGGTAAAAGGGTGGGAAGTGTTTAGAAAGAATGGTATTAAATAAGTTATGTAATCATAAAGAAAAAAATTGTAAAGTGAATTAATGATTCCAAATAAAAACGTTCTAGTATTCTAGAGTCATCTCACAATTAGATTTTCCAGGTTCTAACCTTGATCTAGACACAGTTGTGCATCTGCTGTTTTTCCTACTCCTAAACTTTTATCAACTTTTCCTGTATAGGCAACCCTTGTCTTGTATTTGATATATTTCTCTAATAAGTATTGAGTCACAAGTAATAAGATCTTTTTAATGTCAATAGTTTTACCTCCCTCCAAATCTATTAAACATTTATGATATATTTAGATTCTTGTTGAAACTCTAGACCGTGGTATTCATGACTTTCTCTAGTGAAAAAATTTGAACATTTTAAACTTTAACTTACATGCCTTTTATTATCAGGAACAGGAAGTACTAGAGAAGGAGGAAGAGGAAAAGCAGGAACAAAACTCTTCCAGGATTTTCAAATATTAAGCAGAATTTGGACTCATCCATGGTGCTTACAGCTGGACTATATTAGCAAAGAAAACAAGGTAAATTAGATATTCATACTTAAGTATCTATTTAGTAGTCTGATTTCATTCCAACTCATTTTCTCCAGTGTTTCTCCCTGTATCATCCTCACTATTTATTTATAGTTTTCAGCATTTTGAGTTCCAAATTTTCTTCCTCTCTCCCTCTCCTCCCCAAGACACTGTGCAGTTTGATAGAGGCTTATACATTTATATTGAACCTATTTTCACATTAGTCATGTTGTAAAGAAGAATTAGAAACAACGTCATCCTCACTCTTTTAATGATCTTCATTCTCTCCCTGTCTCCTGATGCTTTCCTATTCCATATAAACATGTCTGTGTTTCCCCATTCTCAAAAAATGTGCCTGATCTATCTATTCCTGCCAGGTATTGTCACATCCTTTCCTTTCGCAGCAAAATTTCTCGAGAGAGCTGCCTACAATAGGTCCTTCCTACCTTCTTGCTAACTTTTCTTAACTCTGTATAATCTGGTCTTTCACTATTCAGCCAAAACTTCTTTCTATGAAATTACTAAGTCTCTTAATTGTCAAACTTAATGGTCTTTTCTTAAACTTCAATCTTTGTGACCCTTCTGTAGTGTTGCCCAAGACTCTTGATTACCTGTTTCCCATATTAGTCTCACTTCTGAGTTTTCAGTATCACCAGTTGCCTACTGGACTTTTGATACTAATTAACCTGGAAATTTTTCAAATTCATCATGTCTGAAACCAGTCTTACTTTTTTTGGACTGCCACTATTGAAAGTATCAATATTTTTACTTTTGGTTTCCAGGTAACACTGGCATCAACTTTAGCTCTTAATTATCCTCCATACTATGTAGATGTCAAATGTTGGCATATCTGCATTCCAAATACCTTTTACATTTAACATTTCAATTCAGGCCATCATCACCAATATCGTATTTTACCTAACAATATGTCTAACTAAATTACTGCCCCATTCATGAAACTCAAGTAGTTCTCTGTTTTCCCTAGAATCAAATGTATACTACACTATTTGATGTTTAAATTCCTTATAAACAAGTCTAATGTATTTTCCATGTTCATATATTATAATTCTTATACACACTGAGTTTCAAGAAAGTCTTCTTTCTTACCATTACATCTTTAACCCCTGTACTTTTGCACTGCATACACATGTCTAGAATGTACTGATTTCATCCACAAAAATCCTCACTTCTTCCTTTCAAAACCTTATATTCAAAGTCTTTATTCCCAAGTTACTAGCATGTTACTTCTTCAACTGTGTAATATTTGACTGCGAATCTACATGCATAAATGTTATTTCTGCACCATAGTCCAACATCTATTTGAAAAAGAGGGCAGTATAGTTTTAGTACATTTCAGTATAATTCATTATGAGATTTGTGGAGTTAAGAGCTGGCTATTGCATTGATCAGGATTTTTAAGTCTTCCAAAGTTGTCTAATTTACCTTTTTGTATAAATTGTTCTTATATCACTCAGTTTAGTTCTCCCAAGTTTCTCTAAACATTTTAGAATATTTCTTGTGAATAATCATTTGAAAAGTAGGGGTTATGCAAAGTTTATTTTCATCAGCTTACTCCTTACCTGTAATACTTTTTATTTGTTGGGCTGTTTCCTCAGCTTGTGCTTACATTTTAGAGTTGAGCCTCTACATAGTGTTTATTATTAACAGTCAGCCAACATAGTTGTAGGAAAGCCATTTGCTATGATGGTATAGCATAGTAATTAAAACAAATAACCCTCTACAATTCCAGGGCCATATTTTACGCATAGTGATGGTTACAGAGTAGGCTCAAATCTGGTTGCAATGGTAATGAGACACATGTAGGGAAGAACAAATGTTGCCCAAGTAAGTTAAAAATTCCGATATTCATATAATAAATCCCCCATACAGGAGCAGGTTGTTCAGCTAGTCTACTTGCTAATGCATTAAAACTTGATTGCATTTTATGGTATTAGTCTTGTCTGGGGCTTGGGTAAAAAAGTCAGATAGTACTAATCCCTGCTTTACACAGGTTATCAGAACATAGCAAATAATATCTTCTAATTTTTAGGAAGTATAAGAAGTACAGTTAATGCAGTGTAATTATGCATGAAGTACTAGTAGTAATATTTATATGACAACTTATGGTTTGCAGAGCACACATACATTACTGCACATGTATGACCACCGTTTTAAACTTAGACTAGCTCTTACGAGATTAGTGCCACTGATATGATTGCTCCCATCTTACAGAAGAAAACTGAAGTTCACAGACATTAAGTTAATTGCACAGGATTACACATTGGAGAATGGAAGCGTGGTATTGCGGTAAAGCACAGCAACCATGTCTTTTCAAATTTTGGAGTTGCCACTTGTATGATTTTTCAAAAGTCTGAGTTTAGACTAAATGATGTCTAAGGATCTTTTTAGCTCTTATTCAATGATCCTAAGTGTTGAAGGTATAGTGTAGAATGAATACTTCCTGATTCCACGGCCCATAATCTATACTGTCCCTTATGTAGATGGGGGTTAGAGACTGAAACTAATGCAAAGGCCTTAAGCACTTTACACTAAGAGAAATAAGCAAAAAAAAAAAATCTTTTAACATTTTTGATAAATGTAATGATTAGCAAATTTTTTTAATTATTTTTTTTTTTCAGGGGTATTTTGAGGAAGACAGGATGAATGAATTCATACCATCAGATTCTGATGAAACCTCACTGAGTTTAAGTTCAGATGATTATCCTAAGTAAATAGAATCTTTCTTTGTATAAATATGCTGTGTATTTTTTCATTTCAAACTTCCATAAATAGTAATAGTAATGTAATAAAATTAAAAATAGCTATCATTTTCATGTAATAGCTTATCATATTAAATTTTGCTCTAACATTTATTAGTTAGGAAAGAAGATCCGCATATGTGTATATTCTCACTATTATAGTTCACAAATTGTCATGTATTATACACATAATATATGTATGTACATATGCATACATACACATATATACATTTATATATACTGATACTCATATGCATATAGATCATAGAATTTGCACTTAGAAGTTGAAGATATCTTGATTGTTTCCTTTTTTGTTTTTCTAGTCTCCTTATTTTTCTTGGAATTTTAAAAATTAACAATTGAAGGAAATCAGAGAACTTACAGAAGAGTAGTAATAATGACTTAATATTTTTAAACTTTTTAACATTTTTCAACCTATGTTCTTTTGAATCTATAAAATATTGTATTAAAGTTTAAATTTTCTGTAAAATGAGCAGTGCCCCATTTAAGTCCTTTACAAAGCTAAAATTTGTGCATTTTCCAGAAATATATATTTTCTGAATTAAAATATCAGTATTTTACCAGAAAAATATTTATTTTAAATTTAAATATTCATTTTAAACTTAATTTTTCTAAAAAGGCTGCCCTGCTTATTTGGGATGATGTAATGTTAAATAAGCCAAACTTTTTTTTTGATAGGATCATGGAAAAATCTAGCATTTAAACCTGGAAGGAAATATAGGAACATTTCTGTAATTTTACATGAGAAATTTTTTTGGTTTACTTTATAATTAGCCCTATATTACAGATTCAAATTTTTTTTAAATTCATAATCTTTTCTAGGAAAAAAAAGTTCAAAGGGAAAAAAAGAACTAGCTCAGGTGGACATGAGGATGCAGAAGTAATTAAAGTATGGAATTCAAGATCCAGAGGTGGTGGTGAAGGGCATAAGGATGAGCTGGCCAGCATTTCATCTGTGATGGTAAAAAAAGAAAAAAGTGAGTCTAATGTAGAAGTAAACTTTTGTATTTATGTAAGGATCAAAAAATATTGGTAATATGATATCAGCTATTTACTTAGGGTTAGGTGAATTTCTTGGCAGGTGGAGCAGTGGGTTTATTATTGACAAAATGTAAAGTCACATTACAGTTTACATTAAGATTTCATCATTTCAGAACCTACTAAGTCTGTAGTTTAGATCATTGAGATTGAGTAGGGTATACTTTGACCTTAATTTAAAAAACAGATTTATTTTCTATGTAAGTTGTGTAAAGATTTAATTAAAGATTTTTTAAATGTTAATATTTTAATACCCTTAGTAGTATTTATTTACCCAGCATCTATTAATGAAATTATTTAGCCTGTTAATTTTTAAAAGGATTAGAATACCATTTTGCTTAGACCTTATTAGATTATTCCACATTCTTTGAGCTTAAAAGTAACAAAACTTCATTTCTGTTGTGTATTTATATATAATGTACATTAATATAGGATATATTTTTTCCTGTATTTTACTTTCTAAAACATAGAGCTTCTTAGGTAATACGTAAGCTAATGTTTCTAGAAAGTTCAGTGGGAAAAACAAATGAATAAACTAAATCACACGAAGGACCATCATAAAGGCTTCTAGCAATTAAATTGAAAAGCATGTAATAAATGAACAAAAATAACAGTCTCTGTGAGATTTAACAGACACTTTTCTTTCCCATGATTCCAAGTGAAATGACACGAAAGAGAACACATGATAGGCAGAACTTCAGATATATTTATCCTAGAGTGACACAGGTTAAAGACGCTAAAGGATTGATTTTCAAAGTATCTGAAAGAAAGAAAAATACAAATGCTTGATAAAATGATTATGGACTTTATTATTCTGAAAACAAGTTACCAAGAATATATCACCAACTGCTGTCCTTCTTTTCTCATCTTAACAAAACCTTTATGAGAATAATTTACATACATTAACGCTCTCCTTGCTAATGGTATGTGAAGGAAATAGGCAGAGTTTTGCAAATATAATCTCTTCTTTTTCTTGCATGAATAAAAGAAGAACAGAAGGTACAGCAATGATTTATTGAAAATATTTGATTCAGTAAAACATATTGCAGCTTTGAAGACTGATCTAACAAAGAATCTCTCTTGTTTTTGTGGCCATATCACAAGACTCATTGATAGATCTGACATCAAAAATAAATTTCTACAGTGAGTGTTTCACATTAGGCAACATATAAAACAGATGAATGTTTCCCAGGTCTTTGCCACTAACCTGGAGGATATCCAACGAGAGTCCTGATGGGATTTCTTTATAAAATTCTCAGCTGTACCTTTTTGTGAGCGACATCATTACATCAAGCACCAAAACATTTCAGAGCCACCTAAATGGGATCCGTATTTTCTCAAGAGTCTCGCTTAACTATCCACAAAAAAATCTAGTAGATGGAGAATATCTGTTGTTTAGGCTTCAATTATACAATTATACAGTTGGAGTATGTCAGTTAGCACTTATGTATTAGACAGATACTGAACAAAAAACTAGGCATAGATTTGAAGAGTAGGAAAGTAGAGTGACATGATTTGCCTTTTTGAAACTGTGCAGTGTAATGACAGCAGTCTCTTTCATGGGTTAAGTTCTTCTTTTTTCAAGAATTATTTAGTTTTGGTGACAGATTTGGAGTGCGTCACACCTATTGAATCATGGACTATATATAGAAGTGGACTTTTCTTTCTTTCTTTCTCTTTTTTACATTTTATTAATTTGTTTTCATTTATCAACAATCACTTCCATAAGCTTTTGAGTTTTAAATTTTTCTCCCTCTCCCTCCCCATCTCCCTCCCCAAGACGGCGCACAATCTGATATAGACTATACATGTACATTCCTATTAAACATATTTTTACATTAGTGATGTTGTAAGAATTAGAACCAATAGGAGGAACTACCAGGAAGAGGAAATAAAACACAACAGAAGAAAAAAATAGCAAATAGTATGCTTCAATGTGCATTCAAACTCCATAGTTCTTTCTTCCTATGTGGATAGCATTTTCCATCATGATGCCTTTGGAGATGTCTTAGATACTTGTATTGCTGAGAAGGGTTAAGTCTATCAATATTAGTACCTAACTGATTATAAGGCTACTACTTCTAACTTAATTTTAGAACTTCTTTTAACATTATTATTACTGTTAATACTTCTCGGGAAATCTTACAAGCATATTTGGACTCCAGCTACAAACTTTCAATAGAGTTTAGGAATATAGAAAACAGATAGTGGAGAAAAAGAACCAATGTGGTATAGACATGGAAGTCAAGGAAAGAGTTTTATAACGAAAGAAAATTTTATAGTTTCACGCTAAATCTACTTTCATTTTTGACAGGAATGTTTTTTTCCTGTATCTCTTAATTTAAAAAAAAAATAAGGAGCTCAATGTAAAAAAAAAAAAATGAAAAGCCCTTGAAATTGTTTGACATAGATATATCAAAATACAGTTATTAAAACATTCTCATTTTGCTCCTATGATATGATATGATATGATATGATATGTCCATAGCACTAATTATTATTTACAAATTATGATCATTTTTAGTTTTTCCAAACTAGCAATGTCTTTTTCACATTTTTCTAAGTGCTCAGTAGGCTTTGTAAATAATATATTCTTAGTAAACTTTGGGATATATATAGATAAATAAGTGCATACATTTTATTGCCTTATTCTCAAGATACTAAAAAGAATTAAGCCAAAAAAAAATTATGGTCTATCATCCTGATTCAGAAATAGATACAAGTATATATAAGGTGGCTCAGGGGAGAGAGTATGCTTAGAGTCAGGAAGACCTGGGTTTAAATCCAACTTCAGACACTTAATTGCTGTGTGATGCCAGGCAAGACAATCTCTATTTGCCTTAATCCACTGAAGAAGGAAATGGCAAACCACTTTAATATACTTGCCAATAAATCCCCATGGACATTATCATCCATAGGGTCACAAAGAATCAGCACGCATGAATGACTGAACAGTAAATATATGAACTATATTGAAATTATAATTATATTGACTATCCTAGTAATATCCCAGTGATTAAGAATTATTTCTGATTTTTATAAATTCCAAATATGCTTTTAGTTTTCAGAATGCTAAGAAAGTTATGTTTTTAAAACTTAACAATGTCTCTTTATTTGTATTGTATTGTATTTTAGGAAGAACAACATATTTTTCAAATCCAGGCGGCACTTCTCCAAGGTGGTACAAAGATTTTATTACGGATTCTGATGCTAAAGTGTTGGAACATTCTGGAAAAATGGTACTTCTTTTTGAAATTCTTAAAATGGCCGAGGAACTTGGGGATAAAGTGTGAGTAATATAATACACTTCTTGAAAAAATGGATTTGTATTCATCCCAGTATGATTAAATTAAATTACTTATTCTTCTAGTAGCATATTTCAAATTTGGATTTGATTTTCTATATTTCTGTCTTCTAAAGAAAGCTCATTTTGGTAAGAGTTAATTCTTGTTTGCTGTCTCAAATACTTCTTTAGAGAAATTAACACCCATCCTTAGGCAGCTATGTCTGTTAAAATCTTACTTAATGGCCAGAGAATACGAAAAATGGACTTTTTAAAAACAGTTTTAGTTATAAGTTAGTCTCCTTTATAAAAAATATTCGAAGAACTGGAGCCCATCACTTATAAGAACCATGTTTCACATGTGCTTTTTTAGTCTCCATAGCACTTAATCAGCACAGTGTTTTGCACAAAGCTGATATTGCTTAAATAAAAAAGAAGGAAGAGTAAGTCCAAGGGAGAGAAAATTGAACTAAATTTAATATTAAGCGCAATGTACTACTTCCTACCAAATCAATGAAATTATTTATAACGTATCCATGGTAATCAGCATTAGTTAATAGTGTTATAGATTTCATCTGGAAAAAAAAACATAACAAAATAAAACAAAGAAGTAAATAGAGTTTGGTTTCAAACTGTGGTCTCCTAATTCCAAGTCTGACACTCTTTCCAATATGTTGCTGACATTATTCAATACTTAATATTTGGAATTGGATGTCTTTAGCTTTCACTAAACTGAAATACAAAATAAAAGTTTATGGCAGACTAAATTTACTTTATTATATTTTTTTAAACTGAAATTAGGCCACATTGTTTCCAGTTGATTACTCATGTTGTCCTAGGTTGTGCTTGATAAGGCAGTTCCTCCCAAATCCTTCTAATGAAGTCCCTTGTTCATTAGGTCTTTGCTGCTTTTGTAGAATTCTGGTTTATATGTCATTATATATAAATGTAACATATATGTCATTATATGTAAGTGCAACACCAACAAAATATGATAGCATATTAAAGGAGAATAAGGATCATGACAAGGAATTTTTAGACAGCAATTTCAATAAACAGCACTTTTTTTTCTTCCCAGGCTGGTGTTTAGCCAATCTCTCATATCTCTGGACTTGATTGAAGATTTTCTTGAATTGGGAAATAAGGAAATATCAGATGATAAAGACAAGCCTCGAATTTATAAAGGTAAGTCCACCCTTTAATGCTGAATTTCTGAAAAAAAAAGTTTTGATATCAGTAAAGAAAACTATTAAACTAATAAAAAAAAACTAGGAGCTGGTTTTGTGAGAAAATAAAAAAGAAAAAATAGATCACATAATAGATAAACCAGTGGTTAATTTGATTTAAAAAAAGAGAACCAAATTACCAGTATTAAAAACAAAAAGGGTGAATATAGCACTAATGAATATGAAATTAAATTAAAACAATTAGTAGGAGTGCTTTTGCCCAATTATATGCCAACAAGTCTGACAATCTAAGTGAAATGGATGAATATTTATAAAAATAAAATTGCCAGACTAACAGAAAAAGAAAATAGAACATGCTCCATTTAAGAAAAAAAATGAACAAAACATCAATAATCTCCCTAAGTCCAGATGGATTCACAAGTAAATTCTACCAAACATTTAAAGAACAATTATTTCCAAAAATATATAAACTATTTGAAAAAAAATAGACAAAAAAGGAGTCCTTAAAAAATACTTTTGACACAAATATACCTAAACAGGGAAGGGCCAAAAACAGAGAAAGAAAACTCTAGACCAATTTCCTTGATGAATATTCATTCAAATATTTGAAATAAAGTACTTGGAAGGAAGTTATAGCAATATATCACAAGGATTTTACACTGTGAGCAGGTGGAATTTATACCAGGAATGCAAGGCTGGTTCAGCATCGGAAAAACTAGCAGCATAACTGACCATATCAATAACAAAACAAACAGAAATCTTACGATTATCTCAATAAATGCAGAAAAAGTTTTGACAAAATACAACATCTATTTCTATTAAAAACATTAAAGAGTATAGGAATAAATGGAGCTTTTCTTAAACAAAGTAATAACTATCTAAAACAATCATCAAGTGTTATCTGTAAAGAAGATAAGCTAGAAGTCTTCCCAGCAATATTAGGAGTGAAGCAAGGCTAGCCGTTAAAATCACTATTATTCAATATTGTCCTAAAAATGATAGCCTTGCAATAATATAAGAAAAAAAATTAAAGGAATTAGAATATTAGAATAAACAATGAGAAAGCAAAACTACTACTCTTTGCAGATGATATGTTGGTATACTTGGAGAATCAACTAAAAAACTACTTGAAATAATTAACGATAATTAACAGTTTTAGCAAAGTTGCAGGAAATAAAGTAAACCCACATAAATCATTTGCATTTCTATATATTACTAACAGAAAGAGATAGAGAAATTCCATTTAAAATAACTCAACAATATAAAATACTTGAAAATCTACCTGCCAAGACAAACCTAGGAACTATTTGAACACAATTAGAAAACACTTTTCACCCAAATAAAGTCAGATCTAAACAACTGGAAAAATCCTAATTGCTCATGGGTAGTCCAAGTCAATATAATAAAAAATAACAGTTCTACCTAAATTAATTTACATATTCAGTGCCATCCCAATCAAACTACAAAATATCTATTTTGTAGAGCTAGAAAAAAAAATAATATGCATCTGGAAGAACAAAAGGTCAAGAATATCACAGAAATTAATAAGTGACCAGCTAAATGACCATCAATTAAGTAAATAATTGAGTAAATTTTAAATTTTATTTAGAGTATCTATTTTGCTATGCATTTTTGCTATGTAGCATTTATATGAGTAATTTTCAAATTTGAAAAGTGGTTTTTAAGTAGAATTAAATATTTAATGAAACTTGATTTTGTGTGTATGTGCAAGGTATGTTTATTAAGGAACTAAACATTCTAGTGCTAGATTATAATATAATAGACCCATTTTTACTATTTAATATGTAGGTGAAGGAAAATGGTTTCGAAACATTGATTATTATCGTTTGGATGGTTCTACAAGTGCACAGGCAAGAAAGAAATGGGCTAAAGAGTTTAATGATGAAACTAATGTGAGGTGGGTACTTTTAGATTTTCTTTCCTCATTTATGTTGCAGATCATTACCAGTTTATAGGGGCTGCTTTCTTTCTTTGTTATCTTCAAAGTGATTTTGTTACTGATTTTATTTGGCATCCAGTGCATATTTCTTGAAAACTTTTCAGTCAATACAGATATACCCCCTAACTAGAAAACTGTTTTCTTATTATTTCCCCCTTCTCGGTTTTTGTTAAAATCCCTGTAATCTAGCATTTTCTTTTCAAATTCTATTTTGAAATTCTCTAGTCATCTGGTTTTATTATCTTCTCTCAATCATTTCATGTAATAAATTACAAATCTGACTTTTTGATTCATCAGTAATGAATCGGAATAAATCCAGGTTATCAAAATCCATATAAAACTTCCTGCCTCAATAATAGTTAAAGAAATGTAAATTAAAAGAATTACAAGTTTCTATCCTATACCCATTAGATTGGCAAAGATTAATAGACAAAAGAAAATGACAAACGTTGGAAGGAATGTGGAAAAACAGAAACATTATAGCACTGCTGCTAGAGCTGTGATTTCATTTAGCCATTCTTGAAATCTGTAAAGAATTAGTAGCTAAAAAATGGAATAGGAAAATGTCATGAAAAAGTGACTAAATTCTGCAAACACTTTGATTTAACAGTACCACCACTATGCTGATAATAACCCAGAGAGATCAAAGAAAGGGAAAGGATCTCTGTATCTAAAAATATTTATATTTGTAGCAGTTCTTTTTCTAGTGACAGAGAACTGGAAACTTAGAATGGTGTGTATACATTGGGGAACGGCCAGAGAAATTATGGTATGTGCTTTTGATACTGTACTATTCTATAAGAAATGAAAGGGAATGTTTAAAGAGAAACTTGGGAAGACTGGTATGAACTCAATGCTGAATAAAGTGAGTAGAACAATGGTAGCAATTTTTCTTTTTCTTTTCTTTTCTTTTCTTTCTTTCTTTCTTTCTTTCTTTCTTTCTTTCTTCCTTTCTTTCTTTTTTTTTTGTGGTAATTGGGGTTGAGTGGCTTGCTCAGGGTCACACAATGAATAAGTGTCAAATGCCTGGTCTGAGACTGGATTTGAACTCAGGTTCTCCTAACTCCAGGGCAGGGTCTTTACCCACTGTGCAATGGTAGCAATTTTTACAATAAGAATAACATTTCTGTCAAGACAAACAACTTTTCAAAAGCCTTAAGTACTTTAATTTTTGGCTTGTTCTTCTGTGATTCCAAGGACCAATTATTTGCTGTCTACCTTCTGATAGAGAGATATAATAGTCTCCAGACTCAAGATGCAGAATAAGACATGCATTTTTTTCCTTGGATTTAATCTATAGGGAAATTTCTTTTGTTTGTCTGCATGTTTGTGACAAGAGTTTTCTGTTTCTTTCATTTTTCCCCTTTTAATTTAGGGGTTTAAGGTACTGGAAGAAAGAAAGTACATGTTTCTTAATTGAATAAATAAGTAAAATAAGTTAATCAGAGATTATTGGTTAAATGTCAGTGTGCTTTTCCCTTCATATTTTGATAAGTTATTGCTACTTGAAATACTTTGTCTGCCTAGATTACTTGGCTACATGCTTCTGTTTCTGGTGTGTGGCAAATGTACCTACATATTTTCTTACTCCTAAAGGCAATATTTCATGGCAAATTTGTTAATTTTATAAGAATAATCTTTTATTAGACTAATTACTTTTTTCTTTTTAAATTTGTAGGGGCCGCCTCTTCATTATTTCCAGCAAAGCAGGTTCAGTTGGCATTAATCTGGTAGCTGCTAATCGAGTAATCATCTTTGATGCCTCTTGGAATCCGTCCTATGATATTCAGAGCATATTCAGGGTTTATCGCTTTGGTCAAAATAAACCAGTCTTTGTATACAGGTTTTTAGCTCAGGTAAGTTTCAACTTTTCATATAATAAATTGAAAGTACAAGCAAAAGTTTGAAACTGGTGAGCAATTATAGGTAAGTAAAATGGCATTTCATTCTTTACATACAATCAACTTTAGTATTTTCCTTGAGCAGACTAGGCCATGTCAAAATATGTTCATTGGTCAAGTAATTCCCCTCCCCTAATTAATATCATACATGTATATGTATATATAAACAGATATACACACATATCAATATATTTGCCAGTCATTGTATTAAGTATTGGGATTTCAAAGAAAAGCAAAAACAGTTGCTTCTCTTACTGACCTCACAGCATGCAAACAGCTCTGTTGTTTGAGATATATAGAGTATACCAAAAGCAGTCAGCATTGAGAGGGTCTAGAAAAGGCTTCTTTCAGAAGTAAATTGAAACTTCAGGAAAGAAAGGAAGCTTTAGAGACAAGAAAGGTGAACATTCCAGCCAGCAAAAAGGCACTTGATTGGGAAATGGAATCATGTGTGAGCAATGACAAGAAGGTCATTGTCACTCAATCAATGTAAGTGGAAGGGAGTTAAGCCTAAGAAGATAGATACGAACTTAAGTTGTAGGATTTTATCCTAGAGATAATAAGGAATTACTAGAGTTTATTGAGTAGGGGGGTATGACAAGTAGACCTATGCTTTAGGAATAAAAAGTGAATAAATATACGCATGTATGTGTGTGTGTGTGTGTGTGTGTGTGTGTGTGTGTGTATATATATATATATGTGTGTGTGTGTGTGTGTGTGTGTGTATATGTATATATACGTATATACATATATATGTATATATATATATATATGTATGTATGTATGTGTATATCATACTTTATTAATGCCATCTACTAGCAAATCCCCATAAAAATCTACTGCTCTATCTTCTAACTGAGCTACTATCCAATGTTATGTGGACATCATGCATGTCACTCCTGAAGGCTATGCTGGCAGTTTCAGGTAGTGTACTCCCAGCTAAGGCTTTTACATGGATCTTCTCCAACTGTTTGAAACTCTAGCATTGGTTGACCTGCAATGAGGAAAGAAGAAATCCAATGAGGCAAAGAAATCAAAGTGCCATATATATTTGTAGCCGTATGTTGGCATTGCTTGAAGAATACAGCCACCAAATTGTTCATGCTTTTTATCACCCAGAAGTTTATAGAAGTTCTTCCTCATTCAGAAGCCTCCATGGAGAGATAGCTCAACTTCCTCTGTTAGAGAATTTTGTATATACAATTAGTTCTGACTTAGTAGCCAACTAAAAGACTCTCCATCATCATGCAGTCAGCTCATAGGAAAGTCACTGAATGCCTGCAAATGCGTAAAAAATGGCTCTCTGAGGCCTCATCATTATACATCAGCTTATATTTCTGCAAGCAGATTCTCCCAATATCTGAATGAGTCAGCAAAGTGGATTGTTGATGCTTAAAGGACTTGGTTAGCCTTATGTGTTTTTATATGCAAAAGTTAATTACCAGATAGGTTGAAAAAGAAAATACTGGAAAGTCACTTTCGCAGCAGTAAATGGAAGAATGGAATAGGATGTAATCTATGGAGTCAGAGAGACCAATTAGGCCATTGTAGTCATTCAGAAAAGAGGCTGTGAGGGCCTAAATTAAGGTGGTAGTTGTGTGAACAGAAAGAAAGTTAAATGTGGGAGATGTTTGTAAAGATAGAAGTGACAGTCTTTGACAAGATTTGCATCTGTACAGTAAGGAAGATTGAGGATAATACTGAAATCCCAAAGCTGGGAGATTGGAAGATGGTGGCATCTTAAACAGTATTAGAGAAGTGTGAAAGAACAAAAGGTTTAAGGGGAAAGACAGTGAGTTCAGTTTTGTATATGTTTACTGTAAGGTTTCTATAGGACATTCAGTTTGAAAATCTGGAAGTCATCAGCATAGAGATGATGGTAAAAAGTGATTACCAAAAGGAAAAATAGGGAGGGAAAAGAGAAAAGGGCTTAAAATCAAACTTTGGGGACACCAGTGGTTAACTGGCATGATATTAATGATGGAGCCCACAAAGGAGACTAACAGTAATTGAAAAGAATTACATCTGGTGTTGTGGATTCAAGTTATCAAGCACTGGCTATGCAAAACCAAAATCTTTGAAGTAAAATTTCAT